ACCCACAGAACCAATGTGCCAGTGTCACCTCCTCCTGAGCACCAGCATGCCTAGGGACTGCATATACCTCCTGTGTCAGAGCAGGCAGCTAGGAGAACTGGGGTACACCATGGCCCAGTTGATCTACAACATTTCCTGAAGTTACTATGGCTTGCTCCGGCAATAATAACAGATGGAACCCCAAGCCTATGGCTTGTAGTTCCACCATTATTGGGTATGGTCCACCAGCAACCTTTATAGATGGGCTATGATAGAAGACCCCTGGATTCAGGCAGGAAGCCATTTTCTAGGTGTGTGGCACCAGGTAAATATGGAAAGTCAGTGCAGTGGGATTTGTGGATGATGCTCTTAGCATAAAAGTAGTCTATGCCTTTGGCTTTCTATCTCCTCTTAATAACAAATTAAGGGAAGCCATCAAAATTACTCTGTTATACAACTCTTAACTATGCGCACACCAAAGTCCACAATCATCAACCCTAGACAGCAGTGGTTAGTCATGAGCTAGATGTTTGTGTTGATTTATGTACCACATTTTTATTGCACCCTCCCTTCCATAGACCAGGGTAACACACCATGTTTTTTCCTTCCTCACAATAAACCAGTGAAGTTGAGCAAGCAGTATGCTTCACGGCAGAGCTGGAATTTAAATAAAGCCAGCTCACCAGAGCCAGCCTGCTAGCCACTACACTAGTTCTTATCTGCAACATTTATATCCAGCTGCTTCCCCTTGAAAGTGGCCCAGTCAAAGCGGATATCTACTAGAAGATACTTGGAGATACAGGATCTTATCACCATTTTCCAAATAGAAACAGCAGCCATGCAGGTCCCTGATCTAGAGTTAGAGGGGGGAATACTCCTCCATAGTTTGACCATTGAAACCCCCACACTTGCTGTTTGGAGCTGGGGTGGGGGATTAGCATCATTTTTCCTTCCAAGGCTCCCTGCCCCCGCTCCCCTGAATCAGGACTTTGTGCAGATGCTATTTTTATTTTAAAAGTGCTGGGGAAATCTGATTGAATTAGCTTTTTGAGTTGTTAGATGCATACCCTTGCTTTTCTGACAGTAACAATAATTTTGGACAGAGTTTTTTAAAAAGCTAATTTCATAACTTACAGGGCATTTACAGGGTTCTTGGCAGAAATACTAATACCCTGCTGATATGAACTCACATTTCAGAATTAAGAAATCTAATTCACAGTAAATTCACAGATTTCAGACAATTCTCACTTGCAGTACGCAAGCTCATCTTTGGCTGATTTTGGTAGATTCTGAAGCTGAATCTTTGACAAAAGAATCCAAACTATCAATCAAAAATGTAATACTTGTTTCATAAAAGGCCTCATAGAAATATGTTCCAATGGACATTTCATGAAATGCTTTAATGCTGACAACCACAAAATCTGTCCTGGTATTAAACCCAGAAGCCATGATCCAGAAAGTCCCTAGTGAACATGCATTATATTTTTGTTTTCATTTTATGCTCTGTAGCGCCCCATTTCCCCTCCCACTCAGACCACCCTGGTATCACACAAGAGAATTTAACATATGGTTAACATGATTGGGTGGAGAGACGCTGCTGGAGTGAAAACTTAAAAAGCAAAATCAGCCCAGGTTGTTAAAACAGTGCAGGCGTCTGGGACTCTCTAGATTCTGGCCACCGTATGCACAGTCAGTAATTAATAAGGTATGCCATAGGTTTAATGAATGATCTCATTGAATTTCATGGGAGTGAAAGCACAGCAGTGACTGAGAGTGTTAGGTACAAAAGAATGAATAAGTGTATAACATGATGTAGGCCACCAGCTCCACAGGGGATACAACAAGTATTCATAAATTCTGCCATGGCACTATCTAGACAGACAAACTGCAACTGTCCCTTTTACTACTCCAGTACATTCATCTTTCCCCTTACGCTCTTCAACAAAGGGCCCAAGAGGCTCTTTTTCTTTAGAGGCAGCAGGCAACAAAGTTAATATATATTTGCAGTTTTACCCAAAGAGGCAGTGAAAAGTCCATGTTTGCCTTGTTTGCAAAAAAAATCCCAATGTATTTCAATTGATGCTTCCTATTATAGTTTCTCAAAAGCATGATTTTATTTTGGAACAGCAGTGACACTACACTGGTATTACATTAATATAGTGGCATGAATGTTTCAAATCAGGATATAATGCTTCAGCTTAAGGGGTGCAGAGAAAATATTCTCACAGAGGACTATTTCTTAGAAATGGCATAAAATTTAAAAATATGCTTCAGAAAATATCACTATGTTAGTTTTATATTGTGTTACAGGATATGTTTTTATTACCTACTCATATCATGTAAAAAGCACTTCTACTTCCCCAACAACTTAAAATTTAATATATCTGTTGGCTTTAATTCTAAGTGAGTTCACACATTCACACTACTGGCATCAGTCTGTGTGTGATGAAGTGCTCTGGGATTTTCATCTTGATAAAGTGAGTCTATAAAGTGAATGTTAAACATACTTCTGTATTTGCTAATTCTTATAAATGCACCCCTTTATGTTGTAGAGCTGATATACAATCTTAAAAATGTAAAATTGGTTTTGAATGATAAAATTTTGTGGGGATGATACAGAACAGTGATTTCTTAAATACATTTTTTCTTGAATCGCTAATTTCATTTATAAAGATGACCTTCTGATGTAATAAGAAGCAAGTATTTATATGCTGTTCTGCACCCCTTGCATCAATTCCATTACAAGGGATGCCTTGGTGAACATAGGTAATTGGAATTTCCCATACTAGATAACGGAGGAAACTGTATTTTATTCCCCTCATTTTGTTCTGTTATGTACTTCTATCTGACATTGAAGGGCACGCTATGGCTTATGTGTTCCAACACCTCAGCGGCAGTCTACAACTTATACAAGAGCCAGACCAAAGGTGATGCCCGCTACTCCCAGCTGTCTGTGGGAAAATCCTTTTTCATGATGTCATCTTAATTTAAGGGAATTAAATTATGTATGCACCCTAATAAACTGGTAATTTGGAATTACTGTCTTGACTGAGGAATTTGCAGATAATTATCACATGTTCCTGACCAAATTTCAAGAAGAGAAGATAATTTTATTTATTTTATTTTTCAGATTTTTACCCCACCCTCCCGGCCAAAGCTGGCTCAGGGCGGCTCACATAAAAGCAGATAATTACAATAAAACATACTTGTAGTTAAAACAAATATAAATTCATAATAAAGGGCTAGTGGTTCTTAATAGTCATATAGCAGTATCAGCCAGTGTAGAACGTTCTCCACTCGCAGTCAGCTCTCGATGTTAGTTGGATGTCCCTGCAGGGTTCGCTGTTCTTTAAGGCTGTTGATGGCAATTTTCAGGGTCCAGGGCCCTCTCCCTTTTAACTACCGATGTTCTTCATTGGTGGTGGCGGCTCCCAAAAGCCTGGCGGAAGAGCTCTATTTGACAGGTCCTGTGGAACTGCAAAAGGTCCCGCAGGGCCCTGATCTCCTTCGGGAGCTCATTCCACCAGGCTGGGGCCGCCACCGAAAAGGCCCTGGCCCTGGTTGTTGACAGCCTAGCGTCCTTAGGACCTGGGAGGGCCAGCCGGTTCTGGGGCCCTGACTGCAGTGCTCTCTGGGGAACATACGGGGAAAGGCAGTCCCTTAGGTATGTAGGTCCCTGACCATGTAGGGCTTTAAAGGTAAGAACCAGCACCTTGAAACGAATCCGGGATGCTATTGACAGCCAGTGCAATCCCTCCAGTACAGGCTGTATGTGCTCCCACCTTGTTGTTGTTCAGTTGCACAGTCGAGTCCGACTCTTCGCGACCCCATGGACCAGATCCTGCCAGGCCCTCCTGTCTTCTGCCGTCCTCTGAAGTTGGCTCAATTTCATGTTTGTTGCATCGATGACACTGTCTAACCATCTCATTCTTTGCCGTCCCCGTCTTCTTTGACCTTCAATCTTTCCCAGCATCCGGGTCTTCTCCAGTGAGTGCTCCCTTCTCATTTGGTGGCCAAAGTATTTGAGCTTCAGTTTCATTATCTGGCCTTCCAGGGAACAGTCAGGGTTGATTTCTTTTAGGATTGACTGATTTGATCTTCTTGCAGTGCAAGGGACTCTCAAGAGTCTTCTCCAGCACCATAGTTCAAAAGAATCTATTCTTCGGCGCTCAGCCTTCCTTATAGTCCAACTCTCACAGCCATACATGACTACTGGGAATACCATTGCTTTGACCATGCAGACTTTTGTTGGCAGGGAGATGTCTCTACTTTTTATCATGCTGTTTAGGTTCGCCATCACTTTCCTCCCAAGGAGAGCCCCATCAACAGCCTGGCAGTGGCATTTTGCACCAGCTGCAGCTTCTGGATTTGAGACAAGGGCAGCCCCATATAGAGAGCATTACAGTAGTCCAGTCTCAAGGTGACCATTGCATGGATCACTGTCGCCAGATCATTGTGTTTGAGGAAGGGAACCAACTGGAGGACAAAACCTAACCACTGGAGACTGGAAAGATTTATCCCAAGAAATTTCTCTCCAAGGTGATCTTGACCCTTCTATGTGGCCTCCTTTCTAGTGAAGAAAGGGTTAACCAAAAAATGAAGTTGGCAGCAGCACATTGAGAACAGGGAACACACAGATTTGATCCTGATTCAAGGTGAAGCCTCTGCAGAGAAATCTTAATTTCACCATATGAAACACATTGAAAATTACTGGGGGCAGGGGAACAACAACAAAAAAAGAATGAAGGGAAAATGCCACCTTGTAGAAATAAACCCACATCAGCTGAGGAGGCAAAGATCTGAAGTGCCACAGTAATTGGGACTGACACTAGAAGGTTATCAAGCAACTAGAATTACCATATGACTGAAGTAGTGTGTGATCTCATCTTCTGAACAATGTGGGTAATGAAATTCTAAACATCTTGCGACCTGATCTTCAGCCAGTCCTATACCAAGTTTAGGTTCTGAACAATTTGAGTTTAATTATGAAATTTTCCCCAAATCACTAGTAAATGTCTTACCTGAGTCCTTCATGGGACAGAGAGCACACTGCATGCCCCATGCTTCACCATATAAACAACAGCACTCCGTGTAAGTAGTTTGCTTTCCAACAAGAGGCCGGCTGCAAACAAAATCATCACTCAGATGTTGCCAGCAAAGGTCCTGGTAGACATCGGTGTCTTCAGTTTGCTCTGAAATGTGAGACAAAGATCTGTAACTATTGCAATGCACTTTGTATTTCAAAACTTCGTGTAGTACAATATGGTCCAGATTTGCATCATGAGAACTGCTATACTTATTTCCTGCAAAGTTAGAATGATTTTGTAATGTAAAAATGTTTATGACACCAAATAAAGGCAAAGTTTTAAGGGCAGTTTAATTCATAAGCAAACAGAAACCACACAGAATCAAGATTAAGGCTCTATTTCACTCCTAAATCCTCCAACACCAGCTAATTTCACATGATAGATCCTGTGCAGCAATGTGAAAGCCACAGCAATGCTGCCTCTTCCTGCACCTCTGGGACACTTGGAAAAGTCCAGACTATGCAAGGGAAGCCGACGCTATGGCTCCTCTCCTACTGTCAACCCAGTTTTATTAAGCTGATGCTGGTGTGGAGAGAAGCTGTCTTTGAAGTTCTCACATCAGCACTGGTGCTGCTGTAAACTCCTACTCTTACAGGATAATACAAATATCTAGCCAGAGTATTTTTTAAATGTGGAGTGTGCTTTAATAATTAAGTGAATGGGGAAGCAGCTGCAAACAAATCCTGGATCTCTATGAAGGGGGCTGGGCCCCACAGAATACTTTTGCCTCACACAAGAGCTCTTGCACAAACAGAAACACAAGAAAAGTCATTGCAAGCAACATCACTATGTCAATTTGACTGTATCATGTCTTGCATTTCCACTTGCCTATATGTCAGCATTGCCTGCCCCCCCCAATAGAGTCCTTAAATCAAACCATACTGCACTTTCAAACTGGACTGTAATGATTTTGATTTTTGTACACAGCAATAAGGGTTGCAAGTGAAAAATCAGCATATGATCTTACAATATTTCTTGCACAACATCTTGTGCAAATGGGACTACATTGAATAAAACTAATGCACGGCAGGCTCCAACCCCGAATATCGACTGTGGCCATACTGCTGACAAATATTGGAGTCTTTGAGAAATGTGTATGAACAAGTGAAACATGTTTGCTCAAACTCTGAGACATAGATGAAGAGTTCCCCAACACCGAATGGATCAGGGCAACAAATACTGAGGCACCTAAGTGATGGACCGCTGCCACAGATGTCATATCTGTAAAATACACACTTGTCTCAAAAACAGAGCAATAACTAGTCAAGACTGCCCTCAGTTAACCAACCCTTTCCAAGTTTTGCTAAACTAAATGGAATGTATACCAGCAAAACAGGAAGATTATGACTCCAAATTCTCTCAGAAAGAAAGAACTGACATAATTTAAAAGTAACCTCACTACATCCTTGCTGATGTCCTTGAACCCCATAACAATGCAATGGATGCAATAAGGCATACCACTAGATTCTGCTGGTTTGATACATCGCTTTTCTGTGGAATCCAGGACCATTGGGTGGGTACAGAAACAGCTGTAAGAGCCTTCATTGTTGACGCACTGGCCATCGATACAGCTGTTGGGGTCTTGACATTCATCCGTATCTATTAAACAGAAATGAAAAGGAACATCATTGTCCAACAAGATGACTATTGTAAAATAATATGTGTTTTCAGAAATGCCTGAATGCTTCATAGGTGATACTCTCTTTCTTCTTATGCATTTACAGGAACTGAAAAAACCCTCAATTGGTTGTTCTCATGCAAGGAAAAATATTGTGCTGAACGCCTCACATGGTGGTCCACAGATTTATCCTGGGTTTATCCAGGATTTTGCTCTTCCATGTTCACTGTTGCTTTTATTAGCAAGCACATTTTAGAAAAATTGCATGTATGTTCCTCCTCCAAACAAGGGTAAACAGGCTGCTGGACCATAAGCAACATGATCTTAAATATAAAGATACTACACCTCAGCTTTTTCCTGTTAACTTATTTTACACAGGGGCAGCAACAGTGTAACTTTAAGAAAATAAGTGGCTTCATATCAGGAAAGAAAAGTTCTTTGGACCCAAGATGGAATTAGCCTCTTACTGTGGTTTCCGTTTATTATGTTATTCCACACAGAATGGTTTTCTGTTTAAACTGCAAAAATCAGGGTCGTGACTAGGAATAATTTTCAGGAAAATGGCAAAAGGTAAATGAGTAGGCAGTTCCACAGACTAACAGAGAGTACATTTATGATGATCAAGAGTGTGAATTGCTATTCCATATTGCATACTGGGCTCTGTTGGGGGGGAATATCTGTACTTAATAATATTCATTTCCTCAAATAGATTTTTTTGCAAATAGGAAAGTTCACTTCCCAGAGATGAGTCCAATAATAGACTCAAGCAGGGGTCATTTGGGAGGGGGACGCGGGGGGACGCCATCCCCCCGGGTGAGGTGCGGGAGGGCGGGGCCTGGAGCTCCCTGCTGGTGCCCGCTGGAGGTCGCCGCCGGCTGTGGGGAGGACACACTTCCGGTGATGTCAGGGGGTGTGGCATATGCTAATGAGTTATGCTAATGAGTTCCCCTAGCTCTTTTTCTACGAAATGACCCCTGGACTCAAGCATAAAGTATAGAGGGCTGGCTGGTGTACAACTCAACGAATTATGCTCAGGTTTGGTAGAACAAGAGTCTACAAATGACAGTCAGAAACTAGAGATGAACTGTATTCCCCTAGGGTTAGCATATTGCTCCAGATACTGCCAGTTTGAATCTATCAGCACCCTTGCCAAGATTTGCTGTCCTCAATGAGATATTTTCTGAAACAAGGCCAAACCAGGCACAGTGGGGTGTAACTATGCAGCTTAGTGCAGTGGATACATGGCAATCAGTGATTGAGCAACAAATGAGAGTGACCCATGCCCTTACCGGTGTGCACTGCTGGGGGGGGGGGAAGGACAGTTGTTCTGCACCATACAGCTACTTGGTTGTCAAATGGTCAGCAACACTCAGCATGGGGTTGGGACACGATCAGCATACAATGGATGCTGCTGGACATTCAACAGCTGTAACTTTACAGATTGCAGCCTCAGACATTCTCTGCATCCCTGAAAAAGTGTGGCAAAAGTGTGGAGACCCAATCCCTCTTGGTTGATTCTATTTCTTACTGCCACTGATGGAAGTTGTTCTTTACACGTAAGACAGCAGCTGTCATGGCTGTATTAGCATGCATGTACAGCAGTAAACAACATGGTAACACCAACAGTATTCTGCTAAGGTCAGTTTTGTGGCTACTCTCAGCAAAATAAATAAATCTTAAAACAGGCTTTTGGGGCCTAGAAACTGCTAAGTGGTGCTAACTGTTAACTGTGGGCTTTTAGCTCTTAGAGCATGTAATGATTTAAAGTTTGAAGAGTGTGTTTCTTTAAATGCTTGGTAAGTTTCAGAAGAGAAGGGGGGTGAAAGAGGGGGATGAGTGAGTGAGGTGATTGGTTGGTGACTGAGAGTGTATAGGAGGAGCTAAGAAGTAGAAAAAATTGGTAAGAGAGAAAAAGCAGCAGTTAACAGTCAGCAGTTAATGGCCAACAGTAAAACAGACAGCAGTCAGCAGAGTCTGAGAGCGCTGATTTCTGAAAAGTTCAGTCAACTGAACTGAAAGAGCAGTCTTCTGATAAGAATCCAACAAAGTGCTGTGAAAAACATTAGGATTCTAGGGAAGAAAGCAGTAATACTTGTAGAGGACATATTAGAGACTAGAAAGTCAAATCCTAATATTGTCAAAGTATTATAAGACTGTGAGAGAAAGAAGCTGGTGGAAACCCAAGTTAAAAGAAAGATTTAACTGAGCAAAATATATTAAAGCTAAGGACAATGTACATTCTGAAGAGAAAGGAGGACTTGAATGAGAGAAGTGATTGTGAAGAGAAAGAGATTGATAACTTAGTCAGAGGTTATTAACATCCACCGTTTTATTTACTGAAGCGATAAGTTGCTAAACATCCTGAAACCAATACACTTCTTGTACAAATAAAGCTTTATTTTGTTTTATGTAAATCTGGAGTCATATGCTGTTAAAATACAAGAGTCTTATCCTCAGGACCACAAAGTCCAATGAGGGGCACAGTACTATGGGAAAAGGTTAAATAATAAAATTGGAATTAAATTCCTGGTGGCAGCATTACATACCAAGAGACAGAGAGGGAGAGAAAGAGAGGGAGGGAGGAGTTGGGGGGGGGAGAGAGAGCGAGAACAAGAAAGTTAAAGACACACCTTATCTAACTACAAACTACAATACTTTTTGCATGGAAGTTACTTTTTATTTTTATGTATAAGATCCATTCCATTTCCCCACCCCAATTTTCCCAATGCATCATATGGAGAACTGGAGTGTACTTCGACACAGTCAGCAGCAACAATTCTGAGCCACCATAATCTAAGAAATTGCTGCCAGTCATATTGACATACAGCCACTTCACAGTGACATTTCTGCAAATAATCAGGGATACATGAAGCTGCCTTAAAGTGAATCAGACCACTGGTCCATCAAGATCAGTACTGTCTACTCAGACTGGCAGCAGCTCTCCAGGGTCTTTCACATCACCTACTACCTCATACTTTAAACTGGATATGCTGGGGATTGAACCTGGGACCTTCTGCAGGCCAAGCAGTTGCTCTGCCACTGAGCCACAGCCCCTCCCTTAATTTGGAAAGATCATGTGGCAAAAGTAAGCAGCTGTTTACACCTGTGAGTTGCCAACATGGATGGGCAAGAATTAGGTACCTTTGTTGACTTTCCACAGTGCTGGCTAGGAACATAGAAAGTGAAGGCACACAGTTAAGAGTATGCATACTTACCAAAGCACTGGAGTTTAATAGGATCATAGTATGTGCCCTGTTTGCAGTAACACTCGTAGCCTGGCTGTGTATTTAAACAGAAGCCGTTCTTACATATCTCTTGTCCAAACAGCTGACATTCATCTGCATCTGCAGAGAAAACATAAAGGCATAAAACTCTTCAGTGGGCTTTCGGGCTGTAATATGAACGTTTAAGGTATTTTGCCAAGGTAGACTGTGGAATCCAGAAGTGGTTTTATGCTCCACTGTAATTCCCCAGGTTAAACAAGAATAAGAAGAGAACAGGGAAGATTCTGGCTGTATCCCTTGTCATTCATCTGCCAAAGTATTCGACTGAATACATAATAGAGAGTAAAGCCCTTTTTTTTAAGCCACTGCTGAATTATCTTGTACTTTATGTTCAAGACAACAATGATCTGGAGACCATAGTTTATTTTACTGACTGGTTTTCCTATCTTTAGCACCCACTAGTTGGGGTTAAAAGGTCTCTGTGAATAGTACCTGAATGGAGCTAGGATCCCACTCACGCACACATTCAGAAAGAATTACAATTTCGTGCCCTACACACAGGTACCTAGAAATGCACAGAGTTTATATATGGTGATGGTGAGGTATGGCTTACTTCCAGGTCCACTGGCTGACAGAGCATAGCAAAAGACCCACGTAGCTGTAATGTGATTGGCATGGAAAAAAGTTCTTTGTAGTCCTGCAGCTGCTATTCTCACTTTTCAGCTTCCACTCACTTGCCTTTGCAGGCTCAGATTTTAATAAACTTTAACTCAAACTGACTCTGTCTTTAATCTGCAATCTGATCTTTGTCTTGTGCTCTCTCTTTCTGTTTGTATTTCCAGATTTATGACTGCAGCTGTATGTGTGAACCAAATGAATGTGTTTGTCCCCAGTGTTTTGGGTGTGCTTAGCATCATTCAGTAGTGCTGTACTGGCTGAATGGTTTGCGTATCTTTGGGCTAACATAAAATTGTAGCTGTTGCATTTCACCAACATACATACTTAGTTGTACAACTTCAGTCCCATTAAGTACTTTACTTATGTGAACATGTTCTGTTTAAACAGTCACATAATCCTATTCCCATGTGTGGTACAAGTCATGTTCCTTATGCTGCACTGAATGGACATGCTTACTAAAGACAATGAGACTACTCGAGTTAGTGCTCTGAGAACCACTGTCTTCATCAAGTACTTCACCATTTCTTTACTTTCTGTAACTACTTTCATTTCCCCTGATTATATTGGCTAGGAAACACCCAAATTTTGTGCCCCCTTTCTTGTTCCAAGTTGAGTCTGATTTAAAATCTTGTTGAGAATTAACAATTTGTTTTTGGTCCCTGATCCAGAGATTTCAGTGAGAGTGGCTTTCTCCACACAGCCATAACTATAAATATTGTTCCACAGAATTCAAAAGGTACTTATTACTCTGCTATCTGGGGGCTTTTGACATAACTTAAACTGACAAACATTTCTACAAATTTAGGGAAAATCACTCTGTACCATGGAGCTGTAATGTCTTACATATAAGCTCATGCTTAGTAGACTGAACAGACAGCATGCAAATTGACCATTAGTGGTTTTATTCATATTTTACAGAAAAATACTCTTGCACATACCCTACTAGTTAGATCCAGGTGGTCAGCCATGTTGGTCTGAAGCAGCAGAAAAAAGTCTGAGTCCAGTGGGGCACCTTTAAAACCAACAAAGGTTTATTCAAGGTATGAGCTTTTTTGTGCAAGGCACACTTCTTCAGATACATTGGAATGGAAGGTAATGTATTTGAAAAAGTGTGCATACACGCAAAAGCTCATACCTTGAATATACCCTTCTAGTTGTAAGAGTTATTTCATACTCACTCCTTATTTTTGTTATATTTTGAATTTGCTTATTTTTTCAACTTTGTTTCTTATACTTTACCATGCATTTAATGGACATTATACGAGTGGGAGCAGCACATAAAGTGGGCCAAATTACCCAACTGTAAACCCATTGTTGTGACTAGAATTACTCTTCATTTATATCACATTAACAGTAGAAATGATGCCAAGAAAGAAATATTTTATATATCTGCTGAACTGTTCTATAGGTAAAACTCCCAAATACTTAGTTTTCCAGAAAGCATGAACAGGCTATATAAATATTTTTTCAGCCACTCTTCCAAAAATTGAGCAGCTTGAAGATTTTTTTAAAAAAATCTTAAGACAAAACTTGACATTCATACTACCAAAATAATGATTTTTTTTAAAAAAACTAGGAATTTAAACAACGCTATAGCTTGTGGAAGAAAACTGTAATTTGAAGGGGAACTGTACATTATATTGAAGGATCCTGAAGGATCATGCAAATGAATCACATCACCAAATACCATGACATTATATCAGCATCTTAAGTCATTACAGTACTTTGGTGTTGCTGGTTAGATACTGTGGGCACTAGAGTTTAAGATCAGAATATCAACCACTTAGGAAGCAACTTATTATTCTGTAATTTTTCTACACATGACAAAATGCACAGGCCCAACGTTCACTGACTTTAATGGGTATATATTAAAAATTTTGCCTGTAGTCCTTGGGTAGACGTCTAAATATTTAGATGGGAAAACTGCATTTCTCTCCAAGTGCTCATGCTGGGTTCATCTTATCAAGATAGTGCTGCCATTAAATGCTGGGTGAATATTTTTGCCCTGTGTGTGAAACACCTCTTTTTTTGCAATTTTTCCAGATCACTTTGTAAAAGGAAGAAAATGGGGGGGGGGGGGGTTGGAGAGAAAAAATAACCCTATTGCTAAGGCTCTCTTGCTCTAGTCCAGTTTGGACAGAATGTATATGAAAGTAAATTTTGATTGCAGCAAAAAGTCTTGCTGCATAGATCAGCAGGCTTCAACTTTGGGTCTCTTAACAACATTTGTGTGTGTGTGTGTGTGTATTCATAAGCAGTCTCAAACTGGCTGCATGTGGACATTGCCTGCAACAATTGCCAGCAAAGTATGACAAATTATGGTGTATTGGCCATTTTCCTGGAAATGGAGATGCAGTCCCTTTCCCCCCCCAATTCAGAGAAAAGGCACTGGGAAGACATCATTCACCCTTAACTGAGAATTTGCAGCCAAATCCGATCAGCTAACTTAGTATCGTAATTTCCTTAGGTTCACTGCAGAATTCCAGACTGATTGAAATCACACAGCAAAGAAGTTCATTCCATTAAAAAAACTGCATGAGCAGCAGATCAAGAAAACAATGGCTGCGAACAGTTGTTAAAAAAGGACGTTTTCTCCTCTCATGCCCTTCAACTCCCCTCATGCCCTTCCACTCCCTTTCTTTCGCCAAGTTATGCATCAAAAATCAAATTTCAGCAAAACCTGGCACAACTCATTTTCAAAACAGAATTGTTCTAATTTTTCCTAGGATCTGCGAAATACTGGGTCAAGTCTCTATAAATGGGGCTGACCTTCATAAGTTTCTGTAGTGGCTCCATAAGATGGATCTTCAGAGGGTATGAATCCTTTTCCTTCTGGGCACAGTTCAGTAAACTCAGCTGCGAGGAGGAAGAACCCAGAATCAGAAATGTATTAATGTATTGTGACATGAAATAGATGATGACTTTTCCATAGCATTCTGTTTCTCTATCATTTTATATTATTCATTTCCACTATTGCTCTTCACTGGAAAAATCATAATCAGCTATGTGGGAATTTTGGGAATCTTAACTCTCCCTCCCCAGCTTGCTACGCCAACCAACCTAAGTGTAAGATGGATCATAGGATTCAGATCATGGAGGGAGTGACATAAATTGTATGGGTAGCCAAGTGTCAGATTAAACAAGTTTTACAGTTTTGAGCCCTGTGATTTCTTCTTCAGCCAGCTTTCTGCTGTCAGACTTAATTTAGCCTACAGTGATTCGAAGCTTATGCTAAGGTAAGAATGTGAACAAGAAATTACTTTTCTTTGAAAAAACCCTCTCTTGGGATCTGAAGAGCTGGCACTTTTTTCCTGTGTGGTGTACCGTAGCTAGAAATGGGGGAAAGCCACAAGAAATCCACACACCGAGCTTCAACTCTGGGTCTCTTCAAAACATTTGTGCATATGTGCATGAGAAGTCTCAGTCTGGCTGCATGTGGACATTGCCTGCAACAATTCCAGCTGGAAAAGTTCCAGCATCATCAAAAGAAAACAATGCTGGTTACATGCCATGAGTACATGCGTAAGACTACATGACTGAGAAAAATCTGGGATGCTTCTGTATATAAAGACGTTATTAATTTAACCAACACTTTATTACTGGTATTTATTACTTGTATTCCTCATATTTGTGCTCTTCTAATCAACATTTCATTTTCAAGCAATGCTGGACAGGTAGAATTACAGTTTATACAATATATAGCACAATCAGAAATTAACATACACACACATTTTCGTTCTAATAAACTGAGCAGCTATAGAACGATAGGCTGGCAAATATCCAGATTATTAGGAGAGAAGTGTAATATATTTTAAATAAAGAACTGTCCAAAATAGGCAGGGAAGTAAATATAAAGTGCTGGATCCTATAGATGCAAGAGTAGAAGGTGCTCACTCAAGAGGGTACTTCCTACTTTCCTTAGCTTTGAAAGCCTTCGACTGAGAGGATCTGGGAAGAAGACCCATCAGTTACACTGCCCTACCTTGCTCCTTCATGAACACAGCAGATGAAAGGGAGCTATTTCTGCCCAATTCCCCTTCCTCACTTCAGTTACTGTGCAGCCTATTGCAGCCACTGACCCCATACTATTGAAAACTACCAGAGAATGGAGAATTGATGCTTACCACTTCCAAGCACAGGACATGGAAATATTTCACAGTTGTCACCCCAGCCAGCACCCAAAGTACAGCAGCATTCTTGTTTGGTCACATTGGATGTTAGGACATTATCACAGAAATTAGCATCATTTAAATTGTAGTAACATTCCTTCTTCTCATCTGCTGGTTCCTTGGTGTCTACTGTTACGTCTAAACATAACCAATGAAAGATACTACATCATACATGAAAAACAATGAAACATTCAGAAATAAACCCTCACAATCTCAGGTATACAAGTCACTATAATAACTGCCCGGAAGCAATTTCTATGGATTTAATGCTGAGTGATCTGTAAACCTTGATTAAGAGAATGAGACAAAAATGTAGGATTGCAAGTTCTCACTTCTGATTTGTTTCTTAAAAGTGTCAGTACTCAAATATAAGGCTGTGCTGATTTCCACCAATTTGCCCCTCCTTTGCAGATCCCCACAAAGCTGTTTCTGAGAATCTACTTTAAGAGAGTGCAGCAATGATTCTCCACTCCACTTTCTTATTACTGTAGTTGGATACAGGCCATTGTCTAGTAATCCTTACAGCAAACCTGTAAAGTAGATCAGTGTTATTATCTCCAGTGTACAAACTGTGGTTTGAGAGAGAGAGAGAGAGAGAGAGAGAGAAGTTCTGGCTTGCTTTATGTAAAGCTACCTGTGAGTTTAACGCAGTAGTGAGAGTGGACCTGGGGACATTATTTCTGTTCACCTTTCCAAATGTGCACTAAACTCTTTTATTGTTGATTTGCTGGAAGAGCTGCCCACAGGTGAGGAAAAAACCTGTCCTAATAAGAGACTGATTTGTACAAAGCGGACAAAGAGTTTTTACAACGTGGAAATCAGCAACAGTGTCTGCAGAAAAACAGGTTGCTTACCAGTAACTGGTGATCTTCGAGTGGTCATCTGTGCATTCACACCAATGGGATCTAGTGCGCCTGCGCTGGATCTGCCGGTGCCTAGCAAGCTCTCTTAAAAGGATTTTCGTGCCTGGCCCAACTGAGCATGCTCAGGAGCCCCAGTGAGCATGCCCAGAAGGGCAGGCACGGACATCCCACCAGTTCCTACCAACCGCCGCGCATCAATCTCCTAACAAAACAAGTAGAAGAAGACAGCAGCGGGGCAGGAGGGCGGGTGGTGTGAATGCACAGATGACCACTCGAAGATCACCAGTTACTGGTAAGCAACCTGTTTATCTTCTTCGTGGTCTCTGTGCTTCACACCAATGGGAGATTAGCGAGCAGTAGCCAACCTGGAAGTGGGTGCTGTCAGGTGTTTACTGCTTAGCCGATGATAAAACCTGACGTCCCAGACTGTCACTGGTGGACTGGCGGACGTCTAAGGCGTAGTGCCTGATGAAGGTATTAGGCGTGGCCCAGGTTGCGGCTCTGCAAATGTCTTGCAGCTGTACTCCCTTCAGGAAAGCAGTGGATGTAGCGACAGCCCTGGTGGAATGAGCCCGTACCGGGCC